TATATATATGTGTGTTAATGTTACTCGTCTTTAGTATAATACCTTTAATCCTCAGCCCTCAAATTACCTGGATGTATTGCAAATTCCGTAACAACACTCTTAATAAAACTAAAACTAAACTATGCTGAATAGTTGACTCCTGTGATTGATCGATCAAACTATTTGAACTTCCTTAACTTCTGGTTGATTGATACTGCACGGTCACTGTAGGAAGACGATCGTTTCGTTTTTCCTTAGGCTGCTAATCATCCAAAGGCACGCGCCGCCCCGCCCCCCCCCCCCTTAAAAATCAACAATCTTACTTAAAATTATATACTTCCCGAACACTATTTTCGCCCCCCCCCCCTCTCGTTTGGGGTTTACTTTTGAGCACTCAGTTGAAATGTGCGTGTGCGTGTGTGTGTGTGTGTGTGTGTGTGTGTGTGTGTGTGTGTGTGTGTGTGTGTGTGTGTGTGTGTGTGTGTGTGTGTGTGTTCGCGCGCGTTTGTTTGTAATTTGTATTTGTAGGCCTAAGTATGTGTATGTGAGCGCACTTTGTACTTGTGTTTCTGTGTTTCTGTGTGCAGGGCTAAATATTACAATGGGTTTTGGCATACGTATTTGTATGAGCTTGCAAGTGCTTCTCTTTTTTTAAAGAAAAAAACCCCCAAAACAACCGTAATCTGATATCATATTATTTTAATTAAAATTAAAATACTTTTACATGTATACTCTTTACATGGATAAACATCTTATGAACTCAAACGGATCGAACAAAAACCGGAACAGAGGGGGTTAAAGAACCTTAGGTAAGGGACGCTACTCTTGATTTAGATGGAGCAATGGCGGACGCCGTTGACGCTGACACCGACATGCACATAGATGATGATAAAGCATTGACGATTGAAGCTGCAGAGGTTGTTAAAGAAATTGCCTACGCAGTTAATGATGTTCAGATTTCATCTATGCTTCCTGCAGATGTCAACTTAATCTATATTAATATAACGACGAAGGAGAACCAACATCTATGTGTTGAACTGTCCCTTCAAGGTTTCAGGGTAAGAATCAGATCGGAGATTCTGTTCGTTCAGTAGAACTATTCAGACATTCTCGTTTTTATTTCACATTACTAGATAATCTAGATCTAGAATCTATGACTTGCCTGTGTTCTGATTTACCTTTTGTAAATTTTTACTTTCACCCCCATACACAAATACAATGCTTCGGGGGTCAAACTGCAGTATTGTTTGCGGCCGCGGCTATTCGGACTCGAGTCCAACCAGCCTCCCACTGCTATTCGGACTCAAACTCCAATGCGCGTGCGCAATCACTAGGTGTACCGCATGTGAAGTAGACAAGTAATTCGACTGTGGGCCTTCCTCGGTTTCTTCGATCTGGCCAAGGAACTTTCAACAAAGGAAGAGGCTAGCCGTACTTAATGACGGCTAGACTGGCTGATGGCTTGACTGACCATTTAAAAAAAAAATAGGCCTACTGAATTGTAAATATAAATTTTTAGTGTGCAGTACCTAAAGTATTTGTATTTGAGACGAAACCAGGTGCCTTAATGACAGTGCATGTACAGTCAAACCTGCCCTGACAGCCACCTCTATAAGACGGCCACCTGTACAAACAGCCACTTTCCATTTCCCCCCTTGCGTTTTTTCTATAATTTAGGGCATATTCACACCGGGTGTGTGCATAAGAATCAATATTAATCACACCGGGTGTGCGAATAAGAAATAATTTGATTCCCACAGGGTCGAGCCTATGTTGATGTTTGTCACACGCCCGGAAGTTCTCGCAAGATCTACTCCTCCCCTCTTCTCTCTCTCTCAGTCTCTTTCTGAATACTGTCTATCGGTGTGGACGATCAAATTGACCAAAACAAAGTTAAAAAATGATGTTAAAACACAAAAGTAAATTAATTTGGTTGTCTACAAAGATGCTACGGCTATTTAACTTTTCGAATCGAGCCGAACTACGCGGGTCGCCATTTTGTTTTGCCCGAAAATTCTCGCGCTACTCCTCTCTCTCTTTCTCTCTCTCTTTCCACTGCCCACAGACAAAATTGTACGCTTTTAGTAGGCTACAGTTGTAATGGAACATTTGTTCACGGCACAGAATTCTACAATTTTTCTGTTATCACAGTGTAGAATTCTGTGGTTTAGGGTGAACGCAAAATTTGGTGAACGCGCACCGGGTGAGAATAGCCACAAGACTCGCCTGCACTATTCTCACTCCGGGTGAGAATAGAGGTGGCCTATAATTTAACTGTGTAAAACGAGCACCTGTCCAACGTGGCCGCGGCCTCCATAATTTAACTCACTTCAGACGGGTCACACAACAGTTGCGTGACCCCCGCCATGACGCTCGCGTCGGGTCTCACAAGCCCTGCGTGACCAACTTTGGAATTTTTTTTTCGCTCTACAAATCACGCACGGATCGCGAGACCCACCTCGTACCCTTGTTTGGCCAAGCCTGAGCTACTTAGACTTCGTTTCGTATCTCTGGGGCCGGTAGTTTTTAAGTTATTGAAGGTGAAGGACAGTGACCCCAACTGGGGTTGAACAGACCGGAACTCGCGCTTTGTTTTTTTCTATACAGCTCATAGTAATCCGACAGTCGCGTCGTAGTAACGGTCGAAGAAGTCGCATGAACAAGAATCACATAATTTCGCCGTTTTCTATACTTCTGTGCGTTTTACTAGTTCTAGTGTCTCAGAATATGATGTGTCTAATAGTTAGGATCCTGGATATGTACCCGAACACGGCCCGAGTCGCAGTTCTAGGGCTAGATCTAGCACTAGTACCGGTGTTGTTTTTCGCGCAACGAAATCACAACGTCGTGCCGTACATCTGTCTCATGTAATTCAGTGTATGGGTCTGAATCAATGCACAGACCAGCTTTTATATTTTCACCAAACACTTGCACATGTATACAAATCAAACCAGAACACTTTGAACTTTTATTTTTGTTGTTGCAGTGAATTTCATTCTACTTGTCACGTCTCTGGAAATTTTTCGAAAATCAAATTCATGCCAATTTTTAAAAAATCATACAAATTAAAGTATTAGACTTAGACAACTTTAGTTTTTTGTATTAGATTAAGCTTGAATGTTACTTTACTGTGTCAAAAAATGATTACAATAGGGTAATTTTGAGAGTTGTGGTGATTTATTGAAATACCCCCCAAAACGCCAGTCTTCAACGCTTGTGGCTGGTGAAAGGGCCCAGTCGCAAGTGAGTTAACACGCAACCCCTATCACACTAAGCAGTATCACCTGTCTTAGATGGCCACCCTAGTGACTCCATTACGTTTTGTCATAAATTGTGCATTGGCCCCTGGCATTGTGGGCGAGCCGTCATAATTCAATCACCTGTCGTTGTTGTTAGGTAGTCCCTCCAACCGATCATCTATTCACAAATCGTAAGTGAGATGAGTGGTCACTGTTTACCCAGTGTAACAAAGTAACAAAAGATGTCAACATGAACTTGTGACAGAAACGCTGCTCGTTCTCTGAGTAGTGGTGACCCATGTGTTTGTTTAACATAGTATGGCATTCGGTCTTCCTTGTCTGATACATTTCGTTTTATTGTCACCCTTGTGCAAAATCAGCAACAAAAACAAATTACAAACAAAATACAAACCAACAACAAAAACAATAACAATGCGGCTACTTTCGATTGGGACCTCTGATGGGAATGGTTTGTTTTCTTCATTTTGATCAGTCCTGCCTAAGACGGCCGCCTGTCTTATACGGCCACTTTTCTCCTTGACAATGGGTGGCCGTTTTACACAGGTTTGACTGTATTTTAAACCTCCTGTTTTTTAATGTCAATAGGGCATAAGATAAAAGTACGGGTAGACAGCCAGGCTAGCCGTACTTAAGGACGGCTAGACTGTCAGTCTAGCCGTACTTAATATTGATGGCTGAATTGTAAATGAAATTTTTAGTTTGCAATGCCTAAAGTATTTGTATTTCAGACAAAACCAAAAGGTGCCTTACTGACTTGCATGTTTTTGAACCTGAATAATTACTAGATCTAGATCTAATGAGACCTGTGTACTTAACAGGCTTGAGTTGATAGGGTCAAACCTAGATGATCTAGGCCCTAAGTACGGCTAGACTGTGGTGACCCAGCATGAACTGTGGCCTGTGGTCTTTTCTTTACAAAGGATTTTATAATAGTAGGGCCGGGGAGTGGGTAACGGTATGGGAGGGAATATAGATCTATCATCTATGCAAAAAAAAGGGATGAAGGTGGGGGCAGGGCGGGCCTGGGGAAGTAAGATGGAGAGAGGAAAAGTAAGAGAAAGAGAGAGAGAGGAAAAGTAAGAGAGAGAGTGAGAGAGAAAGGGGAGGGGGTGGCTGTCTTAAAAGGACTCAATTATGAATTTTAGGTTTTGATCCCTTTGTATTTGTAGTCACGAAATGCAGTGTTATAGCCTACCAGTAGTTTAAAGTCCGAATAGCAACGGGAGACTATTCGAACTCAAATCTAGACCTCGCCGGATACAAAAAAAGTATGGTACAACCGCTGATTGCGCACGCGCACCGGGATTTGAGTTCGAATCCGAATAGCCTCCAGTGGCTGTTCGGACTCAAGTCCGAATAGTCACTTCGATTCTAGTCAGGTTTGCTGCAGATCACACACGATAAAGCCTCCAAAACTGTCGCAAATCAATTTATTTTTAAGGAAGTGATTATTATATTCACACCGGGTGTGCGCATAAGAATCAATATTAATCACACCGGGTGTGCGAATAAGAAATAATTTGATTCCCACAGGGTCGAGCCTATGTTGATGTTTGTCACACCCAGGTATCCCACCTTTTGGCAAAGTAGGCTTTAATGTGAAACAACTGTACACTAGTATATATATATATATATATATATATATATATATATATATATATATATATATATATATATATTTGTTTCAGTTTTAGGGTTAAAGCATACGCTCATCTCCCTCTCTCTCTCTCTCCCTCTCTCTCTCTCTCTCTTTCCCCCTCTCCCCCTCTCCATCTCTCTCTCTCTCTTTCCCCCTCTCCCCCTCTCCATCTCTCTCTCTCTCTTGCTCTTTCTCTCTCTCTCTCTCTCTCTCTCTCTCTCTCTCAAGGCGCAATGAAAACAAATTTAACGGAAAAAAGAGAGTTTTGAGTCATAATCATTGACACAATACACAACTTAAATTCTAATTTGAATGGGTTTTTTTCTTATTGCATTGCACAATTAGAATTAGATCTATCCATACCGAAGATAGCACACACGAATGTTCACGCAGCCTGAAAAGTGTTCGCAGAAGTCCACGCATTGCTTCAGATGGCGCTGGAGTCTTTATTTTGAAGTTCTCTTTCGTTTCTCCAGAAGAAGAATAGAAGGATACAGTCTGTTAATTTCACTTTTATTTAGACCTGCATGTTTGCCGACAATCGTCTGAAATCGACAATCGCGACCCGACCCGCGAGGCGGCCGATGCCATCGCTAGGCCCACCTGTATCAGTCAATGTGCGTAGTGCGAGGCCTGGCCGACTGCCAGCGCCCCCTTTTTCTCCCGTCGGCTTTGTCGGCACTTTCGTTTTCGTGCCGACCGCCGACGCGCGAACCGCCGACTGCCAACGTCGGCGTTTCCGACATAATTGTCGGAACCTAAGTAGAAATGCGAATACGAAAAAAGACGACGACCTAAATTATCTACTTTCAGTTTCGTGCTCGAGCGGCCATTTTGAATTTCGTTTTGTTGACAAATTCAATTGTTCAGATCGTGTGGATTCATTCCAGTCCGACTCACTTAGATAATAGAATCTAGATCTAGATCTAGATCTAGATCTAGATTTATATAGATCATTATAGACCTCAATGGAGGATTCATATTCCAATTCTATTTTGTCAAACCCTATCAAAGGTTGTGCTGTAATATTAATGTTGGTAAAAGGCATTTCATCAGGTGCGTGAATTATTTATTTATTTAGAATCTAGACTCAGCTGAGCCCCTCTGTTCGGAATCGGATGCGGATTTCTAGTTCAAGGCCTATTCCTAGATCCTATTC